ATTTTAAAATATGACACATCAACTTAATTCCTCTATAATTTGCACACTCTTGTGCATCCCCTTTATTCTTAAAAATGGGAACCAAAAGATACTCTTCATCCACTCCTCAGACATCTTTTTAGTTTTTAAAATAATATTAAAGAGTTTAGTAAGCCAAGAAACTCCCAAATCTCCTATATATTTTCACACTTCAATTAGGATATCATCAGATTCTACAGATTTTCCACCCTTAGTTTTCTTTAAAACCTCATCAACTTCTTTTTTTACTATGTGATGGAAAAAATGAAACATTTTATTATTATTAACAATATTAAGATATCTAAGGTTGACCGTACTTTCAGAAACTTCATTAAAAATTTTATCAAAATAACTCACTCACCTATATTGAATATCTTTTTCTAAGAAAAACACTTTCTTATTTTCATCCTTAATACACTATACTTAAGTTGAATCTTTACTTTTCTTTTTTCTTTGTTTGGCTAGTTAAGCATATATTTTTCACCATCTTTAGTATTTAATCTATTATAAAGATTACTAAAAATAGAATTTTTAGCATCACAGATTGTTCTCTTAAACTGACAACAAGTCATTTTATATTTTTCTCACTTCTCTAAGCTTTTATATTCAAACCAATTTTTATAACATAACTTCTAATATTTTATCTTTTCTTGCACATTATTATTACACTGCCAACTTTTTTTATTTATAGAAATTTTTTTCTTTTGATCCTAGTGGGATTAAAATTTTGTTGTTGTTGTTGTTGTTGTTGTTGTTGTTGTTGATCCTCGAGGTACATCTTTTGTCACTTGTTTAATAGTGTTTGGCCTTGCACATTTTTCATTGTATGCATATCATACAACACGTCATTTCCAGAGGACGCCCTAGCATTTACACAATAATCAAAATGATTCATAATGATTCATGTTATGATTTTTCAAATTTTATGTTGGTTGTTGACTACCTAACGCAACCCTCCACTTTTCGCATTCAGGGCTTCAGACCCAGCAATGACAGTATTCTACTCCAAGCACTGGTTAATTAATTTTATTTATTATCAAGCTTGTATATGTTTGCTATATTTATTAAAAGACAAATCTAATGTTATTAATATTCAAAGACTCACAATATGGTTAAAACCTAACACTCAACTGAAATCCAAATGTTTCACTTTGATAGATTTAACCACATTCTTGAAAGTTACTTAAATCAAAACAGTGTTAGCCTGAATCATAACAGCGCTATACAAGTTCTATCTCTTACAAGTGGATATAGATATATTATATTAAAAAATTACTTCTAAATGTTATTGAGGCATTGTCATCCTCACCGCCAACTACCTCACCAATTAATTTCCTACAAATACACTTTAACTGAAATCTCCAATCAATGCTTCTCCAAATGCTTTCCAAACACTCATAATATTGCAAATCTTCCTCTTCAGTTATTTTGGTGCATTGCCTTTGACCACGGTCACAAACCTAATAGGAATAAGCTTTATCCAAATGTATTTAAATATCTTTCTAGGGTATGGGCCAAACTAAAGGGTAAATATATTATTCATCAAAAAAATGAAAAATAGTTATATCTAGGACATTACATTCTTTAAGAATAAACCCTCTTCCAGGAAGACTAACTTCAAGACGAAATAGAAGAAAAACAAAATTTTAAAATTTTCTTGACAATTCTACAATCTATTAATACCAACCACCTTACTTAGACCTTACAACATTGGGTTTATTGAAACCCATGTTCACTCCACCCAACAATAACTCTCTAAATTGTAAGTTTACACAAAAAAAAAAAATCTATAAAGTGAAATCACTCTGCCTCTCAAAACTAGTTATGAACCCAACTTGAACTTAAGGCCTTAAGATTATCAAAACTTCAGTTCACTCAACCCAACACATCACTCCAAACCACATTTTTATTCTCAAAAAAAAATTTGGAATTAAGTGAAACCAATTTATCACTCAAACCTTGTCATGAATCCTATCTCTCAAAGCTTCCAAAAAATTCTCTTCAAGGGAAGATTATTCTGAATTTATAATATTTTTTTCCTTTGAAATTCTCCAACCCATTAACACTATCAACTTCCTACACCCGACGAAATTAAGGTTATGAAAACTCCTATTTACTTGAAACAATAACATCCTTCTAAACTACACTTTTTTTCTCTCAAAAGAAGAATATAAAAATAAGTGAAATCACTCCACCTCTCACATCTTGTTATGAATCCTAGTCAAACTAGTTAAATTAACCAACTCTTCTTTATTGAGATTTTACAAAAAAGCTGCCCAAAAGAGAGGATATTAGCAGTACTCAATATCCTTTAGATAATGTGGTGAGACATTATCTATCATCCTCAGAAAGAAAGCACCATCTCAAACCTCATAGAGACTGAATTTCTGAAGACAGTAGAAGAGGCCCTAAAAACATTATCTCAAACATCATCTCAAACCGTTACATGAAACATGGAGAGGCGCTCGAGGAGGAGAAGAATGAACTTGAAAAAAAAAAAGGAAAAGGAAAACTTCCTCAAAAACCCAAAAAATTTACCATCACAGTACAAGCACATGGATGTTAACAGTGAAATAATTATTTAATGGATCTATCGAGAGATATAAAATATTTTTGGCTGCAAAAAGTTTCACCCAAAATTATGGGATCGACTATTTTGAAACCTTTACTCATGTGGCAAAAGTTAAACACCACTAGGTCCTTCATTTCATGCTAGTCAAACTTAGTCACTTCATCAGTTGAATATTAGGAATGCATTTTTTGAATGATGACTTAAAAGAAGTCTGCATGAATCTCCTCTTGGGATTGGTGACTAAAAAGTAAGATTTAGATTGCAAATTGTAAAAAAAATAAATAAAAAATTGTGTACTATCACCTGGATCCTCATTACCAAAGGCAATCAAATTCGTGATTGAACAGGGGCTGATGCAAGTTGGCTCTAATTACAGCATATTCTACAAATACATAGATGATAATTCTATCACACTAATCTCATATTCTGATGATATCATTGTTACAAGGTACCGTGGCTTGGAGATGCATATCTTAAAGGAAAAACTAGAAGAAGAGTTCAAAATCAAGGTCTCTGAATATCTCGGAGGATTTACTCGGAATGAAAATCTCTTTAGAACAGATCTAATGTCATCAACTCTCAGAAAAATTCAATTTTATATCTCTATATGCCACATTAATTGTGTAAGTTCATGATATCAGTGTTACAAGTTAACATGTTTTGGAGATATATATCTTTAAGAAAAACTAGCAAAGAAGTTCAAAATCAAAGATGTCAAGCATCACATGTTTTTTTTTTTAAGAATAAATATCTCTAGTAAAAAATCTCACATCATCATCTCTCAAAGGAAATAGGTTCTATATCTCGTAAAAGAAACTAGCTTAAATCAAAGTAGGCACGCTGACACTCCTACATATCCTGGAGTACATTGAGTAATGTCGGTACTAGTTCTTTGCGATCAATAAAAGAAAATATCAAATGTTAGTAGAGAAGGCCATGTATTTCAATAATACCAGACCTGATATAACCTTTTTTTTTTGTCAATAAAATAAGTTAGTTTGTGCAACCCCCTCATGAAAAACACATCAATGTTGTTACTAGCATACTTGAATAACTAAAAAGAAGCCGTGAAAGGGTATCCTTTTTCAGGTAAAATATTCTAGAATTATAAGAGCATATACTAATGTTGACATAATTCAATCAATAGTGGACAAAAGATTTACTTCAAAATACTATACCAATTTGTGCAATAATCTTATAACCCGGAGAAATAAAATGATATATATTGTGGGCCAAGTAAATAGTATAGAAGCATAAGTTTGATCACTGGCCAATGAGATTAGTGAATTGATCATCCTCCAAGGTACTCTTAGAATAACTTTGGTACCAATCAAGACTCCTATAATAATATATTGTCATAAAGCTAGTATCAATATAGCTCAAAACCATGGCCACTGTGATCGAACAAAAGATGTGGAGATATATCAATATTTTATCAAAAAAAAATCCAAAATAGATATCTATTTCTATTATAAATTTACTTTCAACAATTAGGCACTGACATTTTGACATAAGTGTTGACTAGACGGAGGAGAAACTTGAAAGCCCTGTTGTGCTCCCCAGATGGCAAGATAGTCGTAGCATTTGTTGTACACAATAACAAAAGGCCTCCCTAATGGTCCAATCCCTGAACACAGCCATGAATTGATGACTTAGACAACGATAGAAGGCCTCCGGGGCTGCAATATCTCGGTTGTTATGGTAGAAAACCATTATGGGTTTTATGCTAATTCTAATAAAAATTTAAAAGTTATTAAAAGAAAATGATGTAACATTTCTATTTCATTTTTCCCTAGGATAAGCATCATATTTCCGTGTTCTGCCGATTGCAAAGCTCTATACATTGGGCCAAGTTTCAGCCAAACAGAAATATGGAATATTCTACCGTATTTCTCCTCTGCTTCATAAAGCTTCAGTAATAAGGTTGTTGATTAGTTGTGTGCTATCAGTGCAGAGACAATACCAACAAAATAATGCGATCAGCCAACTCAAAAAAAAAAAGTTGTATAAAATAAAAATCCTATGATCCTTTTCATGGTAAAGAAGAGCACCTATGGATATATCCCTCAAATCGAAATAGATTTAAAGTTACCTTCTGTTGGAAGAATGTATCTTAGTTCATGAGGCTTCCAAATAAGTTACTAAATGCAGCAATATCTCTGTTAATCAAAGAGGCTGAAAATAGCACGGAAACTCATGAACACACGATAAGATGACATAACCCTTGTAAGGCCTTTTCGGTGCATAAATGACTTTCTGACGACTGATATGGAGAGAACAGTTCTGAATCGGCGGAAAATATAAAAAATTTACGGGCATAACAGCTGCATCTTTTATCTAATAGTTATCAACTATGAGAAGCAAGTCTACTGAGAGAACAAATGCAGCCTAAAATTTGAAATCAACAATTTTTTTCGAAAAACAAATGCATGGAAATAGATACACAGAACAAGTGATAGGGTTCTTTATCGCATACAAATTCAGCAAGAATATCAATTTCAAATATCATTCAAACCCTCAAGCCATAAACTTCTAAAATGGCTTGAAACTTAAAAACAACCAAAGATAAATTAACTTCAGTACATAATGCCTTCTTCCCATGAGAAAAAGGCAAATAATACCCAAGCTAAGTTCTGCAGCTTATGATAAACTTAAAGAGCGTAGTACATTTGAAGTGTTAAAATCAGTCAAAATCTAATTCCTTCCTGCTTTTGATAACCACTTTTTTCCTCATTTCAAAGTCAACCTTGTCCAGATCCATGGCCGTTGCCAGATACCCATAAAAGACCCTACTCTTCTCACCAGTCTTCTTGTCCACCTTAACTAAGTCTGGGTTTTTTTCATCATTATTCCCAGAAAGAGAAGCTTGCACACGAGCCCAACCTTTACGTCCACGGTTTTCTTTCTCAAAATATTCAGACAATTTCTCAGCCTCTCTTAAGCCAACTTCAGAATTTAGAAATCTAACTGCAGTAAAACCCGAATGTCCCTCCTTCCCATATACAGACTTTGCCTTACCGCCACCAAAGCCAAGTTCTGGAAGGGAGATCAGGAAAAAACAAGACTAATATCAAAACTAAGTAGTGATTTTATATGCATATGCAATCCTAAAGCTATATGCCTTCTTATAATATTCGATTCTACATGATCATCTATGGTTGACCTAATAACAAGAGCCCAACGAAACTTCTGAAGTAATGATCGGTGCGTCAACTGTGAAATAAGCATGTGCTTGTAAACCTGCCTAACAAATATGGAAATAATCAATGAACTAGGACAGTTGGCTCACTAGTTCAGATCTAAGAGGTAATATGTCCTATAAAAACTTTAAAATAATTACCTACAGAATATGAAGTATTTCAATGCGGAATGCACTTACCCAAAGATGGTAATATGCACTTCACAACTACAATAGAAATGGTTAAAAACAGTGCTTAACCAGAGTTGTCCACAAAAAAAAAAAATAAAAAAGTGCTTAACCAGAGTTGTCCACTGTCCACAAAAAAAAAAAATAAAAACGAAAGGTTCATATCATACAATAAATATGGCACAAAACTTTCATTTTTTTTTTCTTTTTTATTCATAAACCTGCTAGCTATGATAGATAAGAAATGGAGTAGAAGAGTTGGCAATTTACAAAATATACGTAGAAGGGAACAAGAAAGGTTGGGTCAAGAACTAAAATGACAGGAGCCTCAAGAAAAAGTGTGCAGCTTAAATGTCAAGCAGAAAAATAATGGCATTGCCCAATATTGTTCCATAATTCATGAACAGAGAAGAAGAAAAACTAATGTATGACTTTCCAAGTTCATGTTAGCAGTAAATTCAAAGGAAATTTGTGAAAAAGAAGAAATTGAAGCGATGAACAGGTCAATAGAATCTCCCTAATCGAGTAAGCATATATTCAATGAAGTTGAATGAATGATGAATATAAAATGAAGGAGTGCAAAATAACTTAATGTAAGGGGAACAAACTCGGAGCTGTATTTCGAGAATCCAATGATTTGATACCTAATTATGAGATGATCAAGATTCTATTCAACCAGCATTCTCACTGAACAAGCCATAAAGACAAGCTGAATGACCTGTCGGAGAAAGTTCCAATAAGAATGGCATATTACTATTTCACAAGAATAGAGGATCTGGTGAACATTTAGGAGTAGAATATATCAGTGAATCCATAGGCAAAAGCATAAGGATTAATGTTTATAGAAAGCATGAGTCAGAAATATTAGAAGTTTGAGGATGCTTACTGATTTAAAATGAATCATCATCACAAGGCTCAAAATTTGACAGGCAGGAGTATAGATGGGTTTGCAAACAAATATTTCTCAAAAAAACAGAAAACAAAATCAGAATAGAGATGAGATGGTTTTCTGACAATCATTGCTGATACAAATAAAAAAATATAAAGGATAGCAAAGGGTTCCAAAAGATTAATCTTATTCAAGAGGCATTAGTAAGGTTTTAACAACTATAGTACAAAACAAAATCAACAACAGAAAATAAGACAACGTCTATGAACTATGAGCAGCGCTATCAATAGAATGGAACAGCAAATCCTATCAGAGAGATGGCTCGTGATCTTAATAAGTGTACAAAACTAACCAAAATGCATGTAACATAAAAAAGACAGACTGAACCAAAATATACTGAGGCCAGATAATATTTAAATAATATGCATACATTCAAATGCATCTAAAAATAATGAAATTTAAATGCTAGTTAAATTATACCTTTTAGTTTGACATCCATCTCTTTGTTACCCAAACCCTCCATACGACCATCCTTTCTCTTCCCTGTGCTTGTGTTATGTATTATTACTGCTGGTGGCCATAAAATAAGATCTTCCCTATTTCCTCTTGCCTCATCAGCAGATAAAGATTGATACTCTTTGGAGTTATCTGGGGTCTTCGCATAGTTCCAGCCCAACATAACACACAAAGCTTTGTGCAACCCAAGATGCTCGATTCTCAAATCAGGATTTGGGGAGTTGTAAGAATGCATTACAAGTCCATGGACATCTGTAAATTCTTTACCACCCCTGTAATGAGCAAATTAAGTGCACTAAATAGCAGAGTAATCAAAGTTTCCCCATTGAAGAAATAAGTACAATAAGGGGAGAAACTTAAATCCACTAAACGATAACTGCCCAACTCGAGCGAAATTTTGAACGCAAACCCTACAGGATAAAGATTGGAAAGCAGTTGCTTCTAGAATCAAATTATCCCTGCTTTTTTAGACCAAAAATTGTTTATACAAAGTCCCCCTCCAACCATAAGCAAGTTCAACCTTCTTGTGGGGTAAAAAAAGTGTCAAGGAAGGTTATATGGCTAATTACCCTCAATATACAATCCTTAAGTGATTATTTAGTTCACAACAAGCATTTCGAATTACAAAACTGTAGAAAATTATCTAGCTCACCAGCATAAATTTGTTGTAATTTTAGAATGTAAATAAGGGCTCGGACATTAATCCTGCAAAAAGAATTATTCATATATAGCGACTGTACTAATAATTCTAAATTCCCATTGGAGCAAACAAAAACTGTGCTAGCTAATAACAAGCATGGAATAAAACCAAATTCTTTCAAGATATAAAGAAACAAAATTGAATATTTACAACCATATGCTAAGCCTAAATTCATAAAGGTAACCAAACCAAAGTCCAGCACCAGCTCCCTAATAAGACATTGTTTGCTACATACGACACAATAGCTTGGTTTTATATGTGTTGCCACCAATGTTTGAAGAGACTAAGTTGAAAGGCAAAGCAATTTATCTTATCATAGGTCGAGATGTATGCCCCAAGACATGTGGTAAGTACTCCATGACTTTTATATTTCTAATATTTAATAAATAGAATATATGATAAGAAAATCAAATATAATGAAGATAGCCAAATAATTTCAAAATTCAAAGCCCATAATCACATGATTCAACAACTGATAACAACTGCAAAAAAAAAAAAAAACTCCCACAACTGGAATTGAAGACATGGAACTTCTTTTGCGTCTTAGCTTCATCATGATAGTCTTAGTGATGTGAATGGTGAAGCCAAATACACGAGTCACACAAGGTGGGAAATAAGATAAGTTGGATTTAGAGCTTCAATATTTCTGTGAACTTATAGAAAAAGAATGAATTTGATAGACTTTTAAAAGATAAAAATGAAAATAATTTTTTCCTTCATTTTATTTATTCAGGGGCAATATGGTTGCAAACGTTACTGGTGTAAAGTAAAAGAAAAACATGAGCTTTGATTTTGTTACATACAATGTAAACAGATGCAAAGCGATATCATACAGTTTGAAATACCCCAAACAACTCATTTACAACGCATTAAAAATTCACCCAAGTCAAGAGAGTTTTTAATTCATGGCGCACTCCTTATCAAACGCAACTCCTTTGTGTGCCCTTGCCCACAAACCCTCCCTCGAACTTCTTAACAAGAGAAATAGTTTCATGCATCATCTTTGGAGCCAACCAAATAGCCTTCAGAAATTTAAAAATCACTCCATTTAAACATTTAAAAAATTTATTTGCAATAGGTTAAATTTAATAATTTGATAATTTATTTTAGCTTATATCTTGAGGATATCGTCTCTATAATAAGGTGCAAAAGTTGTTCCTGTGCACCCAACGTTCGGTGATGCATCGCAAGTCGAATTATTTCCATTGGTTCAAATTACTTAATTGAGCCTAAAGGCAATCCCTAAAAATGCATTGTATAATATTGGTCGCTACCAAGCTAAATTATGTGCAAAGGGTTAGAAAAGACATCATTGTTTCACAATTTCCATAATTGCAAGTTGATCTAGAAGACTCTAATATTATCTAATCAAGTTTAAAATCAAACCTACAATCCAAATGGGTTCGTGAATGTATAATTTTTCGTGCATGGAGTTTAGCAAGTATTTAATAGTGTTTATCACTATAAAAACAAGGGACTAACCTAAAAGCTTATCCCATCTAAGTCAACTAATCAATGAAAGATTTTAACTCCTTTCATAGAATTGGGAATAGTTATCTTGCATTTTTCTGTCTCATTTTTACCCACCAATATGAATAAAGCATTAACTCTCTACTTCATTCCATCTCTTAATTGATCCATTCTCTAACTCCAACCAAATTCTCCATTAGTTTGTTTTTAGTCACAAGATTTTTCAATGAAGAGAGTTTCAATTAAGATAAAACAACACAACAAGGTCCTTTAAAATTGGGAAACATCAATTATTTAGTTTACACTTATTCTTAAGTCCCTTGGAGCACTGGCATTCAGGGCTTGTTTGGGGCAACTGCAGCTTATTAAAAAGTTGTTGCAAGGAAGTTTTGTTTGTTTGTTTTGTGCGGCTGTGCAACAACCGTGTTGCAGTTTTTTATGATAAAAAGACTTAATTGTACCAATATTAATATGTTGTTTATAGCAAAATCAGTCCAATTTGAATAACTCATATATAAAAACAAAAATTTGATTTAACATCCAAAGAGCAAAAGTTAAAAATAAAACTATTAGAATAACAAGTAAGAATATCATGATATTGAAATTAAAATGAAGACGATCAATTTCATGAAAGAATTTCTTCTCCAACAAAACTCTCCATGCCATATCACTATCTGAAGTGAAATCGTCTATTTGATTCGCTCGCTTGAAGAAGATAGTTATCCACCAAAGGCAGGCAATCCCGCACCACTGGTGTTGAAGATCAGGAAGAAACAAGAGAGGAGAAAATACCTATGGCAGAGAAGCAAAAGAGTAGAAAAAGGGAGCAAGACAAAAACGTGAGAGAGGAGAAAAGAACCGCTGACCGCAAATAAGCAAGATAGATAGCTAATAGGAACACAAAAAAACATGGACAGCGCGGCCGAGCCAACAACCCGCATTTCCGAGAGCATTTTGGAAACCATCGTCGCATCATTCGAACCAAACGCCTAATCAGGCGTTTACCCACCACGCAGCAACAAAAAAGCTTGTGTCAAACAGTCAATCATCAACACCCAGAGATTTATGCTCACTTAAATTATGTTAGTAAAAATTTACAAGAATCTAACCTAATTTAGCATTATTCGTGACAGATGTCATGCTTGTCCTAATTCCTAACCATCAAAATCATTGGAAGGAATCAATCTTAATCATGTTAATTCATTACTAAGGTTTCATCAAATATGTTTTGGGCAGGTTAAAATTTATGTTCAAAGCCTCTTATTTTTCAACGTCAAGTGAACTTCTACCATAATTCCATCAACGTTTTAAATAAAATCTAATGTTTAAAATTGCACAAATATTAAACCCTTTTTTTTTTCATGAGGCGAGGCATACGCCTAAAGACGTGTATGCCTCAAGATGTTTTGAGACTTGAGCCTCAAAATTAAACCATTAGATTAATTACTGCTCAAATGTGTATCACATTAATTGTAAATAAAATGAAAAATTTTAAGATCGAGTGCCACATTGCCCGAAAGAAAAAAAACCATTAAATTAATTTAAGGTTTTAAAATAATCTTCCTTATGAATAAAAAATATAAATCATTAAAAAATTGAGCTCGATTTCCTCCCAATAAAACATCTAAGAGTAATCCAAAAGGGGGAAAATAAAATTATAATAAGTCACACCAAAACAAAAATCTAGGATAAACAAGTATAAAAATAAAGTCTAAAATAAGCAAATAAAGTTCTCCTAAAATAACAAATTATGACTTATGACTAAATTTAAAAATCTCTTCCAATTCCACCACTCAAAAACTCTTCATTAGACCTCCAATTTCAATAACCTCTCCCACTTCCTTCAGGTGGAGTCTTCATTAAAATCAAAATAGGTAATTGCTTTATTGCCTCACCCATACTCACATTTATCAACATCCTCCCAATCTTCTTATCATCTTCAATCCCAATCATGTCCTACTTCCTTTGTAAACTAATTCCAATGATAAGTTTATTAAGTTTATTTAAAATAATGATTATATTGACCATTTATAATTTCTACTAATAAAAAATCAATAGTAAATTTTTGTTACATTATTTATGACTTTTTTTTTTTCATGTTCAAACCACCATGAAACAAGCCAATATCAAATTTATTCTCTTGCAGTTGTAACATAAAAACTCCATTTCCATTTTCCACAGACTATTTATCATATGAGAGCACATCATTAATAACTAAGGGTTCTTCATCATTCTCCAAAACTTTCATGCCAACAATGAAATGGAAGTGTACGTCACATTGCATGTACCTTAATGCATGCCTCAAATAATTAGGGTGTATGTGGTAAAAATAATGATTATATTGACCATTTATAATTTCTACTACAAAAAAATCAATACTATATTTTTGTTACATTATTTATGACTTCTTTTATTCATGTTCAAACCACCATGAAACAAGCCAATATCAAATTTATTCTCTTGCAGTTGTAACATAAAAACTCCATTTCCATCTTCCACAGACTTTATCATATGAGAGCACATCATTAATAACTAAAGGTTCTTCATCATTCTCCAAAACTTTCATGCCAACAATGAAATGGAAGTGTACGTCACATTGAATGCACCTTAATGCATGCCTCAAATAATTGGGGTGCATGTGGTTGTCTCCTATGGTGAGGTGTAAGCCACAAGGCACTTTGGATGTACCTCACCCTGAGGCGGGTTTCAAAGCAAGCCACCAATTGCACAAGCTTAATCAACACCAAGAATCACCTTTTGTTTGCTAAATTGATAGTTTTGAAGACTAGCCCTTAGTAGATTAGAGCACACATGCTAGTAAACAAGCAGCTACAAATTGTTGGCCTCGGGGACAAGCAGTAAAGAACAGAGGAAGCCCATTAATTGAGACCCAACATTAAAGCAAGGTGATTCACATAAATCTCACAAACAACATATCTATTTAAAAGCAAACAAAAAAAATTGTAGCTTCATCACTATTGACATCATTGAGACAAGTTTGATTTAGCTTTAAGAATCACCTTTTAGCATTCAACTTCGTTGAGAGCTTGATGCATGCACACACACACAAACATAGAGATAGGAGAAGTCAATAAATACATA